GTGGTCGGGTGGGCTGGTGGGCAACGTGGTGATGCCTCTCACGCGTGTCACTGCTTGGTGCCGTCTGTCGCTCCTTGCTCGGTGCCAGGGCGGCGCCGCGGGGGCGACGGGGAGGGGGCACCGCTTTGAGGCGCCCCGGCCCCACACCGGCAGCTGTGGGGCACGAGCCCTTTGCCTCCCGCCGCCACACACGCTTCCTTATGCCCCACAAAACGAATCAACCGCCCGCAGGTCGACGCACGCGGCGCGGCGGTCGTCGCGGCCGCGGCAACGGTGGCCAACCTCTTCGAATCGTGGCTGGGCGCGACTGCGCAGGGGCGGGTGGAGTGGCTGACTAATGATGTGGTCAACGCGATCCAGATCTCGGTCGCTGCAGCGCTGGCGGTCGCGGCAGCGGCGGCGCTGGGCGGCAGCTGAGCCCCTGTGTGTTTGGATTTCGCTCCCCCCTCTTCGCTTTCCTGCGGCGGCGGCTTTCGCATGCCGCACACGGCCGCCTATGACCTCGTTATTTTATGAAAGGCGAGCCCACCTTGCCCCCAGTTGGGGCGTTTTTATGTTCTCTTGCCTTTGTAACCTCGTGCTGAGACTAAATCAGATTGCAGCAGTCAGATCGTTGCGCCGCCCGGTTCGAGCGCTCACGCATCAAATCGCTTACAAGCACGATCAGCGGTGCTCCCCAAAGCCGCGGACGCAAGGGGAAGGTGGGGAGGCAGCTTGCGGCGGCTCCTCCCTGCCCCACCCCAAGGCCGCACCACAAACAGAGGAAACGGCAGGCGCAGGCCGGCTGGGCGCGGCTCGTCATCGGCTGCTGCGCCACGAGCGCATGAGCGCTCCCGGAAGGGCGGACATGCCGAGCGGGGCGCCGAGAGCCGCGCGCGGCAACAGGGCGCCACGCTGCGCGCCGCGGCCATGCACAGCGGCGGCGCAAACGCGCGCGCCGCGGCCGACGGCGGGGCGGAGCTGGTGGCGGCAATGGATTGAGAGGACGGCGGAGCGGTCGGTGGAGCGCAGCTTTCGTTGGCTGGAGCGCCGGCAATGCTTTGCCTCAAATACAAACCAACCAATTCGAGAAAGGCGTATGACCAGCCCACAGGGTCTGCCCTTGCGCGTGTGCAAGGGACGAGCGCCCGGCCCGCCCCGGCCCGGCCCGCCGCCGCCGCCGCTGTCGCAGCAGCAGCAGCAGCAGGATGGGCGGCAGGTGCAGCAGCAACAGCAGCAGCCCGAGCCGCGCGGCCGCGCGCGGCGGCAGTGGCGGCGTGTGGAGAAGAAGGGGAGTCGGGCGCTGGCCCGCCGGGGTGATGTCGCGCATCCGCGCGCCGCCCAAATAACCAGGGGACCCATCTGGCCGCGGCTCGTGACTCCCGGGTGACAGGATTCAGCCATGTCACAGGCTTTCAGCGGCCTGGCGCTTGCGGCTCCGTGCCCCAGGCTTTGGCGGTGCTGCCGTCGCAAAGACTCTCGATGCCTGTACGTGTCGTGCGTGCGTGTGTGCATGTGTTGAGATTGAGGGGCCGCCCCGGGCGGGCGCGCGGCAGCGGCTGCCAGCTTGAAGGGGGGCCCCCAAGGAAGCAACAAGCGTGGCAGCTCGCGCCTGGGCCGGGGCTTTGCCCGCGGG